TATTTTCATCTATTCATTCAAACAATAATTACTGAGTGCTTCAATGAGCCAGACAAGGTCTATCCACTGCAGATATAGCTGGGAACAAGAGGGCGTTCCTTCTTGGAGCTCATGTTCCGGTGTGGAAAGTCAGACATGAGGCCAGGCGCGGTGGCTCACATCTGTAACCCCAGCACTTTGGGAGGCTGAAGTGGGCAGATCACAAGGTCAGGAGTTCGAGACCAGCCTGGCCAACATGGTGAAACCCCGTCCCTACTAAAAATACAAAAATTAGCCAGGTATGGTGGCGCGCAGCTGTAATCCCAGCTACTTGGAAGGCTAAGGCAGGAGAATTGCTTGAACCTGGGAGGCAGAGGCTACGGTGAGCCAAGATTGCACCACTGCACTCCGGCCTGGGTGACAGAGCAAGACTCTGTCTCAAAAAAAAAAAAAAAACAAAAAGACAGACATGAAATGGGATAAGAAAGACATACAACATATCAAGTGATGACAGGTGCTACAAACAAAACTAAAGCAGGGGCAGGGTGTAATGGCTCATGCTTGTAGTCCCAGCATTTCAGGAGACCAAGGCGGGCAGATTACCTGAGGTCTGGAGTTTGAGACTAGCCTGGCCAACACGGAGAAACCCCATCTCTACTAAAAATACAAAAATCGGCCAGGCATGGTGGCACACGCCTGTAATCCCAGCTACTTGGGACACTGAGGCAGGAGAATCGCTTGAATTCCCCAGGAGGCAGAGGCTGCAGTGAGCCAAGATCGTGCCGCTGTACTCCAGCCTGGGCGACAGAGTGAGATCCTGTCTTAACAACAACAAAAAAAAAACGTAAAGCAGGGAGTGCCAGAAGGGTGTGGAGGATTCACTTTTCCTTTTTTTTTTTTTTTTTGAGACAGATTCTTGCTCTGTGACTCAGGCTGGAGTCCAGTGGTAAGATCAGCTCAGTGCAACCTCCATCTCTACAAAAAAAAAAAATACAATAAAATAAAACTGTGGCGGAGGATGGCAAAGGGCAGTGATACTTACAGCCATAAGGCTGGTAGTTCACAGGATAGGCCCAAAACTTAGAGGCTGGGAAGGTCAGGCGACCCCTTGCAAAACACTGAGCCGCCAGGGGTAAGAAGCCAGGAGCCGCAGAACCAAAGCGCCCCTCACCTTCCCTTCCTTGATCAGGCGTTTGCACTGCAAGAAGTACCAGTACGGGGTGTTTCTCCGGCCTTGCCATAATTTGGGCTCCGGTTCCTCTGGCTCCTCTCTCTGTTCCCTGAACCGCAGGTTATGGAACTGGGCTGTGGATTTGTGGAATAGTCTCCGGGAGGAGTATTTGTCAGAGAGGGTCCCAAAACTCTCCTCCTCCTCCTCGTCTTCTTCCTGCATGGCCGTGGAGTTGGAGTGGCTCGGGTCAGAGCCCAGGCTGCCCGTGTTCTCCGGGTGCTCCTGGCCAAGGGGCAGCTGAGAGGAGGAGCTGCTGAAGGCCGCCCACACTGGCCGCATCAGCCCCTCCCTGCCTCCCGCCCACCTGGCGCTACAGGGATCCAGGTGTTGCAGGACGAACAGTCCCATGGGGCGGGCCCTGGAGAACAGTCTAGTGAGTCTCATGAGGTTCATTTCTGGCTTTCCGGTCCCTCCAGGGCCTGGAATATATCAGGAAAAGTAAGAGAGTCAACTCAGTTCCTAGTCACAAAAGGCAGAAAGAAAGAAGTGCTTAGAAGTATGGGCCCAGGCTGGGCGCGATGGCTCATGCGTGTAATCCCAGGACTTGGGGAGGTCGAGGCCAGCATATCACTTGAGGTCAGGAGTTTGAGACCAGCCTGGCCAACATGGTGAAACCCTGTCACTATGAAAAATACAAAAATTAGCCAGGCATGGTGGTTTTTACAGCCAGGTGCGCCTGTAATCCCAGCTACTCAGGAGACTGAGTCAGGAGAATCACTGGAACCCGGGAGATGGAGCTTGCAGTGAGCTGAGATTGCGCCACCATACTCCAGCCGGGTGACAAAGTGAGACTCTGTCTCAAAAAAACAAAACAAAACAAAACCAACAAACAAACAAACAAAAAAAAGAACAGGCCAGGAACGGTGGCTCATGCCTGTACTCCCAGCACTTTGGGAGGCCAAGGTGGGCAGATCAGTTCAAGACCAGCCTGGTGAAACTCCATCTGTACTAAAAATAGAAAAAAAATGAGCTGGATGTGGTGCTACATGTCTAATCCCAGCTACTCAGGAGTCTGAGGTAGGAGAATCACTTGAACCCAGGAGACCGAGCTTGCAGTGAGCTGAGATCACGCCACTGCGCTCCAGCCTGAGTGACACAGTGAGACTCTGCATCAGAAAAATAATAATAATAATAAATAAAATAAGAAGTATGGGCCCAAAGGTTAGAAAGCCTAGGTTCAGGTCAGACATAGCTCACTGCAGCCTCACCCTCCTGTGCTCAAGCGATCCTCCCATTTCAGCCTCCTGAGTAGCTGGAACGACAGGTGCGTGCCACCACGCCTAATTTCATTTTATGGTCGAGACGGGGTCTTGCTATGTGCCCAGGCTGGTCTCGAACTCCTGGACTCAAGCAATCCTCTCACCTTGACCTCCCAAAGCACTGGCATTATAGGAATGAGCCACCATGCCCAGCCTAAAATATTTTGAAGTCTGGTTATATTAGAAGGTTGCCATTGGAAAAGTCTCACAAGTGATGGCAGATTGAACAGATTAAAAACTAGGCCCAGCAGGCCAGGAGCGGTGGCTCACGCCTGTAATCCAGGAACTTTGGGAGGCAAAGGTGGGTGGATCACCTGAGGTCAGGAGTTCGAGACCAGCCTGACATGGTGAACCCCATCTCTACTAAAAATACAAAAATTAGCTGGGCATGACAGCATGTCCCTGTAATCCCAGCTACTCGGGAGGCTGAGGCAGGAGAATCACTTGAACATGGGAGGCAGAGGTTGCAGTGAGCCAAGATAGCGCCATTGCACTCCAGCCTGAGCAACACAGCAAGACTCTGTCTCAAAAAAACCAACAATGACAACAAACAAAAAACTAGGCCCAGCAAGGGGAGAGACTTGCTGGGGTCCTGCAGCAGTGCAGTGGGTGAGACTGGCCAGTTTGGGCTGGGCTGGCTTAGAACTCAGGGTCCATGTAACGTATGGACAGACTCTCCTGACCAGCACCTTTGTGAAACTAGTGCAGGGGGCCTTTATCATTCTGCATCTGGCAAGCCCTGCCACTCCTTACAAGCATGGTGTTTATGTAATTTTCTTTTTATGAGAATGGGGTCTTCATGTTGCCCAGGCTGGAGTGTGATGGCACAGTGGCAAACGCACAATCACTGCAACCTCCAACTTCTGGGCTCAAGTGATCCTCCTACCTCAGCCTCCCAATTAACTAGCATTACTGGTGCACACCACCATACCCAGCTAATTTTTTGTAGAGATGTAGTCTCCCTATGTTGCCAGGCTGGTCTAGTACTCCTGGCCTCAAGCAATCCTCCAGCCTTGGTCTCCCAAAGTGCTGGGATTGCAGGCGTAAGCCTCCATGCCCTGCCTTATGTGCATTAATTACAATACACAGAATTACAAAACAAAAAGCAATGATATTGAAATGGCATCAAAATGCTTTAAAAACAAATTTCTGCTATACTAGCATAGATGCTTATTTTCAATGCATTAAATAACAAGACCCTACAATAATTTCAAAGCAGTAATGAATGTAAGTGACAGCTTAAGATACCACCTTGTAGTTGCTGCACAAACTGTTTTTTTTTTTGAGTCTCACTCTGTCGCCAGGCTGGAGTGGGGTGGTGCCATCTCGGCTCAATGCAACCTCTGCCTCCCGGGTTCAAGCGATGCTCATGCCTCAGCCTCCCAAGTAGCTGGGATTACAGGCACGCACCACCACTCCCGACTAATTTTTATACTTTTAGTAGAGACGGGGTTTTGCCATGCTGTCCAGCCTGGTCTTGAACTCCTGACCTCAAGTGATCCTCCTGCCTCGGCCTCCTAAAGTGCTGGAGTGACAGGTGTGAGCCATCACGCCTGGCCCTGCACAAACTCTTATCTGGAACTATCATTTACACTCACCCCAACTTGAAATTATGACACAGTTTCAGGCACTGCTAAGGCTGCTCCAGCAATTGGGAAAGGAAATGCTAAATTTCACAGAGAAAATAGGGGTGTCATTTTGTTCCTATACAATTTCATTACCCCACCCTGGTTAGAAAACCCTGAATTAGACCATACAGTGGCTCATGCCTGTAATCCCAGCACTTTGGGAGGCCCAGGCGAGTCGATTGCTTGGGGCTTGGGGCTAGAAGTTCAAGACCAGCCTGGGCAACATAGCAAGGCCCCCATCTCCACAAAAATTAAAAATAAAAATTTAAAAATTAGCCAAGCGTGGTGGTGCAGCTACTCAAGAGGCTGAGGTGGGAGGATCGCTTGAGCCTGAGAAGTTGAAGCTGCAGTGAGCTATGATCGTACCGCTGTACTCCAGCCTGGGCCACCTAGCGAGAAAAGAAAAAACCCTGAATTAGAGACACGCTGCGGCCGTCCTTCTTCGGAGAGACCCGCCCCTCCTCAGACGCCTACCCGGACCCTCAGGCCAACGCCGACCCCTCTCCACACAGACTTTTGCAGCCTCAGTTTCCCTCCTCGGACGCCCCTGGCTCCAATCCTGGTTCGGGCACTTCCTTCCCCTCTGGCGTGTCTCTGCCCGGATCCCGGGGTTCCTGCGAGGATCACACAAGAACTCACTTGAAGTGTCCGGCGCAGTGCACTCCGACGGGGCTCTCTACCCGGTCCCCGCGACGGACCCGGCTCTCCCACGGGTCACCCTCTCCCCTGACGCGCAAGCGCAGCCCGCGTCGCCGACACACGCGGCTGGTTTCAGCTTTCCGGCGAGACTAGGCCGGCGTTCGGCTGGCGGCTAGCCGGGACTAGCGGAGCGGCGGGACTCCGCGCTCGATTGGCAGTGCCTGGACAGGCGCAACAACCGGCGCGGGCTCTGGGCGCTCCCGGCATCCCTCGGGCGGCGGCGGCGGCGGCGGCTGCGAGGCGCAGGAGGAGCGTGTGCGGCGGGCCCGGCGGCGGGTAGAGAGGCGAGAGGGCTGCAGGAGACCGAGGGGGAGCCGGGCCGGTGGGGCCGCCGCCGCCGCCATGCAGGAAATAATCGCCAGCGTGGACCACATCAAGTTTGACTTGGAGATCGCAGTGGAGCAGCAGCTCGGGGCGCAGCCGCTGCCCTTCCCCGGCATGGACAGTGAGCGCGGGGCCCTGGCGGGAGGGCGAGAGCGACTCGAACCCGGGACCCGCTCCTCTGTGTTCCCGGGACTCCTTCGCCTCGGTCCTGAGACCTCCCCCGGCTTCCTCTGGATCCTGGGACCCCTCCCCTTCGGTCGCGGGACTCCTCCCTCTATGTCTTGAGAGTCCCTCCCACCTCCTCCGGGTCCTGGGACCCTCCCCTTTAGTTCCCGAACTCCCTCATCTGTGATCCGGGACTCTTCTCACTCCATCCTGAGACCTCCTCTTCTGGATCCCGGGACGCTCCCCCTTGGTTCCAGGACTCCTGACTCCCAGGCCCCCATTTCCACCGTCTGGGGACCCCTTTTCCCCTCACTCGAACTCAGGAGTTCACTGCCTCGGATCTTTGGCCCCCTGCGGCTGTTTAAAGGTAATCTGTAGGCGGGTAGGACATTGTCCGTTCGCTTAATTCTTGAATAAGGGTGGGTTATCCTGGATTGGAACTCTCCCTCAACACTCTCCCAGCTACAGGAGAGTACTAGGATATCGCACCCCGTACCTCCCAACCCCGCTACATTGAGCGTCTCTTCTTTTTGCTTTCATCAAAACTAGGCTGTTGGAGGAGGCGTGCTGAGGGAAGGACCACCTCTCTGTAGGAGACCCCAGCTAGACTCTTAAACTTCCTTCTAGGACTCTCTCTCCTGGGAGCTCATCCTTAGTTTTTGGCCTGTCCCCACTTTTTTCTGGACCCCAACTCTGAGTTGTTCATCACACCCAGCAGCTGGTGTGGTCCCTTAGCCTGAACTCCCTTCACTCCTCCCTTTCACATGGTGGCTCCTGGCTCCCCATATCTTGTACTTTAAAAGAAACTGGTAGTTTTCTTTGTGTCTTCTTTCCTATCCGGACACACTTGAAATCTAATGCTATAACCTTAAAGTTCGCGGGCTTGTGGAAGTCACTGAGTTCAATCCACAGATGGGGAAACTGAGACCCAAGCAGGGGAAGGGACTTGCTGACGACCACTCAGTGCATAGCAGAGCCAGGCAAGTTCTCCAGTGTTGTGTGCTGTCGCCCCGCACTACCAGCGGGGTCTCCCACGTCTCCCAGCAGCCTCTCTCCCCTCAGGCGGCCACACCTTCTCATGCACATGTGACCTCTGAGTCTGTCCCTTTCTGTGGTTTTTTTGTTGTTGTTTGTTTGCTTTTGAGACAGGGGCTCCTCTTTTGCCCAGGCTGGGTGCAGTGGCGCAATCATGGCTCAATGCAGCCTCGACTTCCCAGGCTCTGACAATCCTCCCACCTCAGTTTCCCAAGTAGTTGGGACCACAGGTGTGCACCAACACGCCTGGCAAATTTTGTGTGTGTGTGTTTCTTGGTAGAGACACTGTTTCACCATGTTTCCCAGGGTTGGTCTTGAACTCCTGGGCTCAAGCGATCCTTTCACCTCGGCCTTCAGAAGTACTGGGATTACAGGCATGAGCCACCACACCTGGCCTATATATATATGTGTGTGTATATATATATGTGTGTGTGTGTGTATATATATATATATAAATTTTTTTTTTTTTTTTGCTGCCTGTCCCACAACTTTACATGGTGATACTTCTGTACAAGATAGTTTCGTTGGAAGTTAAGTCATCAAGAAAAACAAGATAGTGCTTATAAAGAGACATCATCAGACCACCCTATTTGACACACGCACAAACACCATCGCCGCTGTACACCCCCTAAAAAGCAGCTGCTGAAATTCACACACACACACCCCCTCTTACCTACCCCTCGAGTCCTGTGGTAACTTCATCCCTGCACATGTGGCCTTTTCCTGTCTTTTTTTTTTGAGATGGAGTTTCGCTGTTGTTGCCCAGGCTGGAGTGCAATGGCGCGATCTCGGCTTACCGCCACCTCCACCTCCCGGGTTCAAGCAATTCTCCTGCCTCGGCCTCCTGAGTAGCTGGGATTATAGCCTCCCGCCACCATGCCCAACTAATTTTTGTATTTTCAGTAGAGATGAGGTTTCACCATGTTGGCCAGGCTGGTCTTGAACTCCTGACCTCAAATGATCCGCCTGCCTTGGCCTCCCAAAGTGCTGGGATTACGGGCGTGAGCCACTGCGCCCAGTCGGCCTTTTCCTGTCTTGATGGCACTGGCTTGAGACCATGGAACCACCCATGCAGGGCAGATCTTTCCCTTCCACCCTTCTGCCACCTGACAGATCCACAAGCCTGTGAGGGGAGGTACAGTGGTGAGGGGCCCACATACCTGTTCTTGAGGCCAGGGACACGCCTGGCCCTGGGTGCTGCCCCAGCCAGGGCTTCAGAGTCGGTAGGCACCCTCCACACTCACTGCTTGTCCATATCCTGTTCAGTTAAAGCCCAGTGAGGCCACAGCCCTTCCTCACCCATCCCTCCTCTTCATGCCCATCTGAGGTTTGGGAATAACTGTCACTTTGCCCATAAGGCATACTCATCCCATCCACATGAGGCTCAGTTCCCAGAACTGTGGATTTCTGAGCAGAAACAACTCTAACCTCTGAAGAGAAAGACCAGACCAGAGATACTTTCAGAATTTTTTTTTTTTTTTT